CCCAGCCGCTCCCAGGAACAGCGAGTAGCCGGCCACCCGCAGCCCGTCGGCGGTCCGACCTCCCCAGCCTTCCCCCGGAACCGCCGCCGCACACGCCCGTTCCGGGCTCCAGCCTGCCCGCCCCAGGCGAATGCCTGGTTGCCATGGCAGCGCCATGGCCCCGGGGTGCCCGCCCCTCCCTGCAAGGCCTCATGGCAGGGCCTGTGCACTGCCCAGCAGGGTGGCCACCAGGCCCTTGTGTTTCCATCTCTGCACAACAAGATGGGGAGCTGCTGAGTCTTGCAAGAGGCAGCAAGAAACAGCCCAGGCCAGCCTGGGCGGGTTATTTTAATGGGGCGGGGGTGCTGAGAAAACAGGACCTTGTGTTTTGAAGGGTTGCCAAGGGTCGCTGCATCATGGCCATGGTAACAGGTCACTGCCACGTGTCACAGCACCACGGCAACAGTCCACCGCCATGGTAACGGGTCACCACCTAGTGTCATGGCAAAGTGTCATGGTAACAGGTCAACCACTGTCTCACTTTGTCATGGGGAAGTGTCATGACGGCAGCCACCACCAAGGGGAATGGTAAGAGGTCACTGCCAAGTGTCAAGGCAACAGTCACCACCGAGTGGCATGGTAATGGGGCACTATCAACTGTCACTGTGTCATTGCAATGGGTCATCACTAAGTGTCATAGTGTCTTGGAGAAGCCTTCGCCTCACAGTACTGCATCCCTCCATCATGGCAATGTGTCATGGAGAATCATATTACACTAACGGGTCATAAGGCCACAATGGAGTATCACCAGGCCACAGGAGAGCATCAGAGCAAAGTGGCATCACAGCATAGTGAAGTATCACTGTGTCACAATAAAGCCCCACAGTGAACTGTTATGGAGGAACATCTCAAGCGAGCATCACCATGTTGGGACAAACCATAGCCAAACCAAAGTGAAGTGTCACCAACCCACCGATTAATAGATTACCAAACGTGACTTAATGACTCAGCACTTCTGATGACAAGAATTCAGAATAATAAAACACAGGGTCACACTTTTAAAAAAAAAACATCCTAAATTTGTAAGTGCGTTAATCTAGATATATTAGCATCCATAAACACAGGGCTTGGCACATTTCCTCTTATTTCAAATGAAATCCTAGACATTTTGGAGAGGGGTGGGTTTTCTTCCTGTGCTCTGGGTAAGGGTCATTATCCTCATTCTGCAGATGAGGAAAGGGATGCATGGAGGGTTTGCATGATTGGCCCATGATCACACCACGCATTTGTTACAGGGCAGGATATAGAACTAAGAAATTAACTGGTTAGTGCTATAAAGCCAATTTTCTCCTGCCATTACCATTTTTATTTGTTTATTTTATTTATTTAAATATTTTTACCCCACCTTTCTATTTAAAATATTCAAGGCGGCTACATTTCCACATCAAAAGCTATGTATGGGACACATCCAGCACACCACTTAAGTAGCCTCAGTAACACAAGTCCTACAATTGACAGGTATTTCTTCTGCTGATATATATATAAATATATATGGCACCTTTGGGTGCATCTACACTGCACCCTTAGCTCAAAATAAGCAAACTGCGTAGCATATTTTGAGTGCATTTCAAAATAGCTTATTTCATAATTTGCTGCTGTCTACACAGCACCAAATTTCAAAATACACTGCTATTTTGAAATGCCCCATAATCCTCATGGAATGAGGTTTACAGGGACGTCAGAATAGTGCTCCTGTTATTTTGAACGATATTTCGAAATAATGGGCACGCTATCAAGACATAGAATAGCTATTTTGGGATACAAATACGTGTGCAGTGTAGACGTACCCTTAGAGACTAACCAAATATATAGAATCATGAGCTTTCATGGGCAAAACCCACTTCATCAGATGAATTGGAGTGGAAATAATATATTGGAGCGGAAATAACAGAAACATATATATTATTTCCACTCCAATTCATCTGATGAAGTGAGTTTTGCCCGTGATTCTATGTATTTTGGTTAGTCTCTAAGGTGCCACAGGACCATTTGTTGTTTTTAAAGTTACAGACCCTCTGAAATTTCCTGGCATCATAAGGTGTTGATGGTTTCTCCAGCCGTATTAACCAGTGATTTCCCTTTTGGCTCTCTCACTTCCAGCCATAGAGGCATTGTGCACCCTTTGCAGTGAGCCTGGTCCCTCAGCTGGCTGGGCGGGGCCTTTCCGTGATGTCAGCCTTCCCTGGAATCCAGACAGGCACAGAGAGGCTGGCGCACAGCGTACAGTTGCTATGGCAACAACAGAAGCTGTCTGCATCGGTGGGGCCAGTCAGGGCCGGGAATAGTTTCCTTGGGACTCGGAGGGGAGGACACACATCCTATGCACAGGTTTGTTTATGTGAGCCCTACAGGAACTATGGGGCCCAAATTGTGTCTTGTTCAGTGTTCTCATTAAGGGTCTGATCCTGAGAATCTGCGCTAGGGAGATGTGGGACGTGCCATGTTGGGTGCTGGGGGTCTGGTTGGAAGCCACCAAGACGCTTCTGAGCAGAGAACAGTGAAGTTGCTACATCCTAATCCAGTGCAGTCAGCCCCCACCGTGTGAGCTTCGAAGCCACAGTGCAGGGGACTGCCCCTTGACAACTGGCCCTTTCGCGTGTGTTTTTCAACACAGTTACCCCAAAAAGGGGGTGAGCGTGGTGCCTGCAGTTCCCACTGGGATCAGTGAGTCTGGGACACCCAGCACCAGTCAGGATCAGGTCTTTTTAGGGCAAATACTCCTCTAACATGGCTTCTCTTCTTAAATGTTTGTGCAAACAGCACTTTCCCATGGCTGCAGAGAGAAGTAACCACACAGTAAGAATGTATTTACCCAGTCATGAGAAAACAAACCAAATGTTTCCTGTCAGCTTAAATGACATTGGGCCTGAGGTAGTTTCCAAGTACAGACCCTTCTTCCTCTGCAGAGTGTCACTGACTTCACTGGGACATCCCATAATCCTCTGCCCCGAATTAACTGAGTTAGGCTCTGATCCTGGCGAAACACATGCCAAACTATCCCTAGAAAGTTCCACTCTTATGGAGCATATTGACACTAAAATCCCCTGTGTTTTGATTCCTTAGTCTCAAAAGTGCTTATGTATTTTAAATCTGTAGATAAATTCTTTTGTGAGAAAATGAAAATAAACAATGCACATATTACAGCTGTCAAATGATTTTTAAAATTGCAATTAATCATGGGATAAAATAGTTGCAATTAATCACAATTTTAATCACACTGCAAATAATGGGATACCAATTTAAAAGTATTATAAATTTTTTTATGTTTTTCTACATTTTCAAATATTGATTTCAATTACAACACAGAATACAAAGTGCAGAGTGCTCACTTTATATTATTTGATTAAAATATTTGCCATGTAAAAAAAGATAAAAGAAAAAGTATTTTTCAGTTCACCTCATAGTAGTACTGTAGTGCAGTCTCTTTATCATGAAAGTCCTGTTTACAAATGTAGAATTTCACTTAAAAAAAAAGTAAAATTTTAGAGCCTACAAGTCAACTCAGTCCTACTTCTTGTTCAGCCAATTGCTAAGACAAACAAGTTTGTTTACATTTACAGGTGATAATGCTCCCTACTTGTTATTTACAATGTCACCTGAACGTGAGAACAGGCATTTTCATGGCACCATTGTAACCAATGTTGCAAGGCAATTCCATGCCAGATATGCTAAACATTTAGGAGAGCCCCTTCACGCTTTGACCTCCATTCCGGGACATGTGTTCATGCTGATGATGTTCCTTAAAAAAAAAAAAGGTTAATTTCTGTTGGTGGTCTCTGACTTATATGATGCAAATGAAGGTGCATTTGGTCTGCATTGCTTTGGATTTTTTTTTCTGTACCAATACTAATGAAAATAATATAAAGTGAGCACTCTACCCTCTGTATTCCTTGTTATAATTGACATCAATATATTTGAAAATGCAGAAAAATACCAAAAATATTTATACAAATGTAAATAGGTATTCCATTAATGTCTAACAGTGTCTTTGTAATTGCAGTTAGTCACTATTTTTAATTTTATTTGTTTTGCATTAATCGCTTGCATTAACTGCAATTGACAGTCCATGTTAAATACTTATATACATATAATTTTCCTAGTGCATCCCTACAAAAAACAAAGTGGCTACGTCTAGACTGGCATGATTTTCCGCAAATGCTTTTAACAGAAAAGTTTTCCGTTAAAAGCATTGGAGGAAAAGAGCGTCTATATTGGCATGGACGCTTTTCCGCAAAAGCACTTTTTGTGGAAAAGTATCCGTGCCAATCTAGACACGCTTTTGTGCAAAAAAGCCCCGATTGCAATTTTCACGATCGAGGCTTTTTTGCGCAAAACAAATCTGAGCTGTCTACACTGGCACTTTTATGCAAAATCTTTGCGCAAAAGGGACTTTTGCCCAAATGGGAACAGCATAGTATTTCCGCAAGAAGCACTGATTTCTTACAGTAGGAAGTCAGTGTTCTTGCGGAAATTCAAGCAGCCAGTGTAGACAGCTGGCAAGTTTTTCCGCAAAAGCACCTGCTTTTGCGGAAAATCTTGCCAGTCTAGACACAGCCAGTGTGTCCAGTTTCAATGGCATTAAATACTATGTCCCTATCTCCCCACCGACATCACTGTTGCTAGTTTCCTACGGCTGTAATTAATTGCCTCACAGCAACCTTGCAAATGTATATTATTATCATCCCTATTTTACTAGCAGAGAAACCAATGCCTGGAAAAGTCAGGTGACTCTAAGGCCACATAGGACCTCAAACAATGTCTACTGAAATCAATGGGCGTTTTCCCATTGATTTCAGTGGGTGATGGAGCAGACCCATTGCTAGTAAATGTCAAGCAAGGTCTAGAACTCAGCAATGCCAACTTTTGGCTCTAATCATTGGTCTATGCAAGATCCCTAACAGTTGCAAAAGGACAGGGACCCACAAGCTCCAATACCAAAATAATTATCCTTCTCCAGCAGCAGGATAGTGATAGAAATGTAGCTGTGTTAGTCTGGGGTAGCTGAAGCAAAATGCAGGACAATGTAGCACTTTAAAGACTAACAAGATGGTTTATTAGATGATGAGCTTTCGTGGGCCAGACCCACTTCCTCAGATCAAAAACAGCAGCAGGGTTAGTAAAAGGTCACACAATGAACTGCTGTGCTTCTCTTTAGCCAGCAGGGGGAGCCAGCACTGTAATGAATATACAGTAATGGAACTAAATTGAGAGGGGCAAATTACATTTGAAAACTTTACATAAGGGCTACTGAGTTCACAGAAAGTTCAATGTCTTGTTCTACCAAGCTCTGCCTGATGTATGAACTCATGGAAATCAGTCTTAATTTATCACAGCAATCTGCTCTTGTATTTTGCTTTTTAAATGAAAGCTGAGATGCTCATGCAATAGCATGATTCCAGCCTCTGGGGCTTTAAAAAAACAACCTACAAATGACAAGATCCATGATAAACAATGAGAGCTGGCACCAATGTAAACGAGTGCCTCTGCATCTGGGAGGGTCATTGGTAAACATTGTGCCGCATTCTGTTTTGGAAGAGACGCGGGTGGTTATATGTAAGGGACACAGTGCAAAACCAATCAGCTGCTTTACAGGATTCCATCCTCTTTACAGGATTCCATCCTCTTTACAGGATTCCGTCCTCTTCCTCCTTTCTCGGCAGGTGTTGCTCTCGACCCAATGGAGCAAGTAGGAGCGCCACAGCCAGACGATACAGGGGAGGCCAAGGAGACAGAGTATTCTAACCCTCTCCTGAGGCCTGCTCTCACTGGAGATGTGGAAGGGGTGCAGCAGATTTTTGCTGACCCAGAAGACCCTGATGGGGAAAAGGCCATGAAGCTTCTCCTGGACAAGGACATCATAGGGAGAGACCTCCTGTATGCAACCTGCATGGCTGGACAGAGTGCAGTTGTCAGAGCACTGGCAAAATACGGGGTGGACATGCAGGATAAAACAGCCAGGGGTACGCTGCTGACAGCTGGGGGCAGCAGGCTGGCCACACACCTGCTGACGCCAGCTCTGACCCAGTTCCCATCCAAGCTAACCCCACGGACTGCAGTGGTGCTAAGTCAGCCCTTCTGCTCCTCCAAGCAAAACCTGGCCCCTTTCATTCACATTCACCTACTCTGTCCGGTCCACCCTTCCCTCTGCCTCTGCGGATCTTGAGTCAAATACCACTGACATCTCGGGAGCCTCTCCATTGACTTCCCTTGGCTTTGGCTCCGGCCCTAGATCCCCACATGGCTTCATACTCACCTCCTCTCCATGCCCATTCACTCCCCCATCCTGGCCTCTCCTCTGTTCCCTTCTTTTAGCTGTTCACTATTAAAAGTTGAGCTTCCTGGTTTGCTGCCCCAGCCCACCTCCTGCAACTTAAATTCTCCAACTTCCTTGCTGCAAATCTACCCCTTCCACTGTCACAGGACTGATTCCAGACTCCACATGTCTTGCCCCTCCCCTCCATCCCTGTACCTTGTGTCTGAGGGTTGCCCTTGGTTACAGTTTTCTCCTCACCCTCACGCTGCCGTGGCAGCTGTATTTCAGGGCAAGGTGGGGGCCACGGGTACATAACACTTTGGGAAGAAAGTTGCTCTGAAAATGCAAAGTATTATTAGCTGGCAGTTAACCCCCAGCAAGATTCCTCTCCCTTTGGTTCTCATGCCTTTTCTTTCGTCCCCCAGGTTACACGCTCCTGCACTGTGCGGCAGCTTGGGGCCAGCTGGAGACTTTGAAAACTCTGGTAGAACTGGAAGCTGATATTCTAGCCACAACCTTCCGGGGTGAAAAGGCCCGAGATATAGCCCACCGTTATGCACAGACGGACTGTGCTGACTTCCTGGACTGGGCAGGTGAGACTGGTAACGCCCACACTGGCTGGCTACAGGGGTTGTGATCACCGCGGGCTAGAGCCTCAGCTGTTGGAAGTCCATCAGAGCTGCACTGGAGCTGATTTACACCAGCTGAGCGAGGATATGCCCCCATGTCTGTAGGCCAGGGCAATTTCAAACACTACGCTAGGCCTGGCCCGTAAGGTGACTGATCCAACAACAAATTCAGCTACTAACGTGAGATCTGCTCCAGTAACTGTGGAAGGCTGCCTATGCCCCAAGGAAAGTCTGCATCAGGCTGGGGTTCTCTGGTCCTGCCAAGCTGTGCTTGGTGCCGGACCAGTGGGAAAGGGACAAGGCTGGTTTACTTTGTCCGTGCAGCTCCCTGACATGCAGGGCAGTCAAGCAGCCGTGTGGCCCCTGGTGTGACTTACCGCAGGCACAGAGCTGCTCTGTTACACCCCACAGCTGCCACCCTAAGGGGCCATTCTAGCAGCCAGTGGTGCTGGACACAGTGGCTCATGCCCCCTGTCCCGTGGCCAGACCCACTGGACGGGCTGGTGCCCGGCTCTTATTCTGGTTCCACGCATATGGGGATTCACCTTTGGCGAGACGAGCCCCCAGCTAACTGGATGAGGCAGCTTTCCAGCTGCCTTGCATTGTGGGAGTGGTGGAAAGCAGATGGATCAAGGAAAGAACCTGGGCTTCTTTCTCCCCGGTGCAATGTTCTGAAAGATTGTTTTTAATTGTCCCTCGTTCCCCCCTCCTCCTTTTCCCCCTTGTCCACAAGATCCTCAACAACATTCAGCTCTCACACTGTCATGCGCCTTGGCTCTGTCCCTGGCCTCCCCGCTCTCCTGCCTTAGCAACATCCTTGCACAGAATCTGGATAAACAACGATTAGAGCACAAAAATAGGATTGCTGTCCCCGGGGGCATCCGCTCCCCTACACTTCCTGCATCACGGTATCCATGCTGGAGCTGTGGCTGTAGGGACAAATGGGGAAGGACACTTCATCCTTCATTTCTTCTCCCTTCCTCTTCTTACTTAGCTTCCGCTGCCTGGCTTCTTTCCTCTGCTGGTGGCACACGTACTTCAGGTATTTCATCATGACAGACGTGTTCGCCACCAGCCTGCAGAGCATCTTGTCCACATTGCAGGTGCACTCAGCGTGGAATTCCGTTGTGACGGACAAGGAAGAGGTTTGGACGGACACCTGGGAAGACAAAGCAGACGACGGGGTTACAGGGATTCTGTTCCTAGAGAGCCAAAAGGCATCAGCCTGGCTGTGTTTCTTTCTCCCCCAGTCACATGACTGCAGGCCAGATCTTCAGCCAGTGTAAATCACCTCTGCTGATTTCAGTGGGGTGATGCTGATTGACCCCCGCCAGGGGATCTGGCCTGTTGACTTGAGAACTAGTCTGTGTTATAGTAGCTGGTGATCTGGCCCATGGACTTAATGGATCTATGCTGGTTCATACCAGAGGGGTATCTGGTCCAGCCTGTTCTCCAGAGATTTATTCTCTGCAGGTTGCTATAAAAAAACGTACCCTCCCATTCATCTGCTAAGGATCCCTCTGGGTTTTACCCTCGCTGTTACAGTACTTTCAAATGTCTCCGTTGCCCTTTCTAGGGTTAAATCAATCTCTTAACTATTAGAGACTAGGATGAGATTGCCCCACATTCACCTAGCGGGGGTTTCTTGCATTGTCCTTGAGACACTGGACTGGACGATTGCTAGTCTGCCCATTCTTATGTTGCTATATTCGTGGGGCCTGAGAGAAATTCCTGAGCAAACCCATGCTACTGTGTCCTTTGCTGGTACGGTCAGTCCTCAGAATAACAATTCCGTTTCAGACAATGAGGCCCAGTTGACCTGAACCTTTAAAACCGGTCCTTCACGGAGAGGCTGTCAGCCTCGGGGAGCGGTGCTGAAGAGAGCAATGATCAACAAATCACGTTTCATCAGACACTGCTGGTGTAGGGTCCAATCCTGGGCCCCCTGATGTGGATGGCAAAACTCACTGATGTGAGCCGCAGCGTACTTTGTGAACAGCCCCTCCGTCGGATGTAGGACCGCCCACAGCACCGTGCTGCAAAAGCACCAAGGCCCAGGTCCTCAACAGCATCTCGGCTCCTCATTTCCACTGACTCCAGTGACTTTAGGAGCCCGAATGCTTTGAGGGCCTGGGCCAAGAGCTGACTCCATGTGAAAGCGTCTCCCCACTGAGGGCTCCGTGTGGTCTGAGCGCAGACGGCAGCCCTGCCACACGGGCCGGCTGGAACAAGCCCTTGGACTTTGGATTCGTTGGCGGCGGCACGGTCCCAGGTGTCAGCTGGTGCGTGCTCACCGAATGCTGGAGGGCGACGCCCTCTCATCTCTCCAATGCCTGTTCCTTTCCCCTCTGAACTGAGAGCACCATTCGGTAACAAACACTGAGCTCCCCGGGCAGGGACTGCGTTTGTTTTCCTGCTGTCTCTGCAGCACCGAGCACCATGCGACCCTGATCCTTTATTGGGGCAAGTGCTACTCAAGTAATAGCACAGGGTTGGGGGTTTCCCCTAGACCTCTGATTGCACCCAGAGGGCTCCCATCTCCCCCAGGAAATGGGACTCAATCCAAGGCAAAGCAATGGGTGCTCTCCTGGACTGGCTGCTATTTCTCCATATTAGTGCCTTGGCTCTAGCTTTTCACAGCCTATGGCTGGATTATGGGCACAAAACTCAAAAGCTGACAATGCCTCTGGCGCTCTGCCCAGCTTTTCAAAGCACAGGATAGTTGGACACCTACATAAGTGGCTGACTTCCCAAAGTGCTGAGCAGAGACCCTGGAGAATTGGGTACAGTCAATGGGAGATCTTGAATGCTGGGCATTTTTGACAATCAGGCCTGAGGTGTCCAAATGTGGATTTCACTTGAGGCTCCAATTTCTGAACCTGTTGGCTCCACATCTTCAATGGCACCTCAAAATGGAGGCACCCAGATTAACAGACACTGTTTGAAAATTTAGGCTTAAGGAACTTGCCCAAGGCCAGCCAAGGAGTCAGTAGCAGAGGTAGTTGATTTTTTTTTTTTCAGTTCCATGCTCTAATCTAACCCTCACCATTTCCACCTTGCTCTTTTACATCACTCACCTTCTTCTGAGGCCTTCTCAGTTTGCTCCAAAGACAGCGTACACATAAACCTAGCAGGAGGAAAAAAGTAATCTTGCAGCTGCCATACAGAACCTCTAAGCAGTCTCTGGCTATTTCCAGGCTGGTAAAGCAGTGAGACAGTTGGTCCAGAGGGTAGGGCAGGCAGCTAGATTGGAACTGAGCGCCAAGCTGCAGTTGTTCCAGATCCTCTGGGAGAATTTCCCATCCCACTCTGACCCAACTTGGGCGATCACAAAGGCAGAGGCTGTCCTGGAACAAGAAGACAATCCAGACAGGAAAGAGTAGGAAGAGATCTCGGACAAACATCATCTTCTCTTTTAAGAGGAAAGGGCTCCAGTGACTTGATCATCAGCGGGTACCAGCTGCAGCCAGAGATCCAGCAGCAAACAGCCCTGAGAGTTCATACTGTATTGCCTTGGGTGGATGTAAAGCCAACGAACCTCACCACCCCCCGGCCTTTCGTGGCTTGGCTCCAACTCCAGGCCTGAGTGCCAGAGGGGCTGTCAGCTGGTGACATCATCAGCCAGTGGTTTGCTTTCAGGAAAGGGATTGTGATGTCACAAGGACGGCAAAGCTTTTCTCGGCGGGCCCTGTAAGGAGTTAAAGAAATAAGCAGCCTCACCTGGTTTTGGGGCCAGAGTGGGACGAGGGCTTAGAAAGGCTGATTTCTAATCCCAGCGCTACAACCGATTTAGCCGCTCCAGGCCTCAGTTTCCCCATTTGTGGAGCAGAGATACTACTGACCCGTTTGGTGCGGTGCTTTGAAATCCGCAGATGGAATGTAAGTGCAAGCTATTACTAATACAGGGCGCTGGTCTGATACAGCCAGTTAAACATAAGAACGGCCAGACGGGGTCAGACTAAATGTCCATCCAGCGCAGTGTCCTGTCTGCCGACAGTGACCAATGCCAGGTGCCCCAGAGGGAGGGATCACAACAGGTAATCCCCATGTGATCCCTCCCCTGTCACCCATATCTATGGAACTGGGGAACATGGAACCTGGCGTCACTGAGTGGTTGGGAACCCCCTCGGCACACTACGAGCCCCACTGAAGTCGCACTCCCCATGTGGGTAACTGCTCTGTTGTGAGTCTGAGGTTCACAGTCTGCCCTCCCCCCCGCCCCATAACTCGGTCAGGGCAGTGACCCCTCAGGTTTGCAGCCTGAGTGTTGGTGTGATCCAGAGGGGCGGAGCTCTTGGGACTCCCCTGGAAGTCCAGGGGAGCTAGGGGCACCACCATCTCACGGGCAGGCCCATCTGTCCTAGAGCCCTGCCTGGCATACCCTGGCATTGAAAGCATAGATTTACACCGGCTGCGGATCGGCCCGGTAGTGCCTCATTTCCCAATCTGTACAATGGGACAATAGACCTAGCCCCATCAGATCATTAATATTTATAAGCCCCAAGGGCTTCCAAGGAAGGGCAAAATCTGGATCAACATGAGCCAGGAGGCTGCTCCCTTTAGTGTAGCTATCTGCCTCGCGACAAGCCCCTGCCTCAGTCTGTGAATCGGCCCCCAGGATCCAAACCCCCTTTGTGACATGTGATCTGTTTCTCAGAAGCCAAGCAGGCCCTGCGGACGCTCATTGCGCACGTCCAGGCAACGATTGCAGATCCAGAGAAGGTGCAGGGAAGGCTGAACAAGGAAGACAAGGTGCAGTGCAGGGCTCTTCTCGGGAGAGCCGACTTAGTCGCGGTTGGAATGTTAGAGCTGCCGAGCCGGGGGGCTCGGGGGGCTTGGGGGGCTTGGAGGTTCTCTGCTCGCACCGCCCTTGCCGAGCCTTCCCCAGCCAGAGGGGAGGAGCGAACCCTCAGAAGCGCGCAGCTCAGCCCAGGCATGATGGGTCCTGCCATGGGGGCAGGACTCGATGACCTCCCATGGTCCCTATGATAGTCCTTTGATAGCCTGCTGGAGAAGGGGCCAGATAACACCCAGGGCTCCCATCTCAAAGCTAGTTAGGTGCCCAACCCCCATTGATTTCAATGGGAGTCAGGCTCCTAAAGACCACTGAGGAGTTAGCCCAGGAGCTTTATGCATATGCATGAGGCCTCCTGGGTCCTCGGCCAGGTGTGTCTTGTCCCCTTTCCCAGGTGGGGATGGTGACCCCGGGGAGGGGAAGTGGTGAGTCCAAGGTCACACAGGGAGAACAGAGCCTGCGGCCCTGCCTGCTGCTTAGCCCTCTCGCTGGGCGCTCAGTGCTGGGTCATGCCGCAGCCTCCCCTATAGCTACAGCACGGCTGGGCTGCGAGGAGTCGTGCCCAGGCAGAGTCAGCATCAGGCTCTGGCTGATCTCCTGGGAGTGCCTGGCTTCCCACTCTGTGCTCTGATCACTGCACCTCTCTCCGCAGTTACCTGCTACCCTGGGCCTTATTGGTAGCTCCTCGCAGGAGAGGCCAGGTGCAGTCCGAGCAGGCCAGTGGTGCCCCCTCCCTTTGGGGGCAGGCCTGTAAGCTTGCTTAGATCACCTGGCTGCTTTCCAGCCTCCTGCCTGGTGGAGAGGGGCCCCATGTAACCTCCTCTAGAACAAGCGATAGATCTCCGGAGCTCGCCCTCTCTAAGGTGAATCCCTCCTCTCCCCATCCCTCCTACAGAGCATGTCTCTGAGTGCCTGCCGGGTGAAATCTGACTGGCTTGAGAACACCAAGGAGCCCACCAGGCAAGACTTCGTGGATCAGAAGCAGCATCTGGAAGAGATCATGCTGCCCATCTTCACAAAGCTGGCCATGCCCCGTGAGTACTGGGGCTACGGATCCCAGGGCAGGACCGGCCAGGTTGATCCCTAGAGGTGTTTAAGTCTCAGCATGAGAAAGCCCTGGCCGGGTTGATTTAGTTGGGATTGGTCCTGCCTAGTGCAGGGGGCAGGACTTGATGACCTTCTGAGGTCTCTTCCAGCTCTATGATTCTATGTTCTGTTATATGATCATCAGTGTCCGTGTCTAATCATCATTAGTGAACATGAATCAATTACTGAACCGACATTCAAAGAGTCATCGCCACCGAACACAGGGTGGGCTCTGGAGAGACCATGCCGATGCAGATGTCACCCATCTGTTGCCAGGTGGTCTGGGGGATCGGGCATTTGTAGGATGAGATTACCCAAGGGTGTGCGGCCGCAGAAAGATGATGGGCCTGATGCCCTGGTCCTCTGGGGTAGCTTTGTGCTGGGCTCCAGCCCGGCTGACGGGGGAGGGAGAGATGAACCCTCCAGACGCTCTGCAGAATGGCAGGCGGGGGAGAGGTGGGCACCTGGGCCGGGGAGCAACGCAGAGCTAGGAATGCGAACAGGGCTGCAGGGGGCTCTTTTCCTCCCACCGCCTCAGGAAATCATGGACTGCTTGCCCGTCCGTATCCCACGCCCAGGTGATCCCTGGCCAGGACGCCCTCCCTCTTCCCGCTGGCTCCCAAGCCCCAGCAGTCCCTCAGTCACCTAGGCTTTCAGCCCCGGCCACCCATGCGCTGCCCTGGCCTCGGAGCCACCCAAAACACAGGAGAGCACCCGGAAACTCCTCTCTGGCTCCAAGCTGAGCCCTGCCCGTGTGCTCACACCCACCTCACTTCATTCCTCTGCTCAGGCCACAAACTCTGCCTTCCTCAAGCCCTGAGTCCCTCACCTGCCCTAACCTTCCTGCACTGTCCTCTCCCAGCCCTCTTCCCTCCCAGGAACGAAGCCAGAGGCCTGCAAAGCAGGTGGGAGTGGGGAGGGAAGAGCAAGTAATGGGGAAGAGACCTGGGTGTAAGCTCTTAAAGGAATCACTCGGCACATCTGGGCTGGGATTCCCCTTAGACACCAAAGGCTCGGTAGCTGGAGCTAAGATGGAGAGCACATGTCAGAGGCGCCCGCCTGAAACCCCGCCCACAGCCTAAAAGCACGGGGATTGAATAGCTCTCCCGAGGAAGGGGCATACGGCAAGGGAACGGCCCATCAGCACGTCTGACAAAAGTGAGCGGTGTGCGTAGCCCTCTGGCTCGGGGTCTGGTGACGATGCGGCCAGTCGCCTTAGCTCACTCAGCTGCACGGCCGTGCTTGCTGTACGCGTTAGTCCATAGCTGCACTAGGGGAGGCAGAGTCGGGGCACAACGGAACATCGCTTGGAAATCTGCTGTCTTGCAGGCCCTCCGACGGTGAAGAGCGCCAAGTCTGCGCAGAACTGCAACAAAAGCTGAAGCCTCGTTCCCACAGCTCCTGCCTGGCTCAGGTCTCATCTGTTTTTAAGGCTCACACCCATGTAGTTGTTCAACCGGAGGTACAGCCCCGGAGCCCAGCTTCGGGCGGGGCCAGGCCCACGGGGAGACTCAGCAGGACAGCTCCAGCTGTACTCAGTGTCTGAACGCCAAGACAGCCAGGGTGCTTTGTGGGGTCAGATGCAGCACTAGCTGCCCCCGCGCTCACCCAGGGGAGTGGCACTTCCAGTTCAATGAGGCTGTATTGGGGCACCCCCGCAGGAGGAGGCTAGACACTGTCCTTGGGGTGGAATCTCCTGCCGCTAGGCCCTTTCTGATCCGGAGCCTGGTCGTTTCACCACTCGAGTCAGCTGGAGGCTGATCTTGAGAGGGGCTAAGCACCGGCAGCTCCCAGTGAGTCCAACAGGGGGCAGCCCGTCTCAGACCCTTCATTTAGAGTGGATTTTGCACCGCCAGGCTCCTAACTGCAGACCCGCACGAGAGCCCCAGCTGGCCGGGAACTTCCCACTTTCAAAGCTCAGGCTGAGCCGGCCGTACCTCTCGGGCGCTTTCCCAGGCGTTGCCGTTGTCCCAGAGGGCAGAAAACCTTCTGAGGATCATGCCCCCTGAAACAGGAAGGAGAAAGCGCCTCTAAAAATAGCCATCTCCCCCCACCATGGGGTGCAGCGTAAGATCGCCCAGCCAGGCGAAGGATGGAGGCTGCGCTCTGGCTCCCTTGTCTGGCCTTCGTGGTGCTTCTCGGTTATTTTCCCCAGGCTTGTTTAAACCTCAGGCTCTTTCTCGTTAGGATCGACGCCATTCTGTGACTGGGAGGGCCCGGTACACACGCTCATTGTGTTTTGCATCAAGCCGGCGTGGCCTCCAAGGGTTATGCGGGGGCTCCTTTTCCTCATGCCAGACCCTGGGGATTTGCCTCCCGTGCTGCAGGGCTGCCCACAAGCAGCGCTCGGCCAGGAGCTATCGGAATGGATTCCATCCGCTCAGCTGGCTAGTGCAGCCAGCACGCGGCTGCTCGGAGAATCTCCTGGGTGAAGCACAAAAAATAATCAAAAGCATCAAAGCGCCTCCGCCACCGAGTGTGATTCGTTCCCACAGCAGCAGGCAGAGCACCAGCTTGCACCAAAGGGGCTGCAAAATGAGTCAAATCCGCTGTGGGAGGAGCTGTTGCCTTTGATTACTCAGCTGTCCTGTGCTGGTGTCCTTCAGCCAAGTTCCGCCTGGGATCCTAAGGGTATGTCAGGGAACAGCTTTTTTGCCCGTTGCCACAGGCACCTTGTAAAAATGCCCTTTAAAACTTAGTGTACCTGTCTGTCCACGCCAGTGGCAATTCAGCCTATGCCTCGGGCCACGGCAAAGCCCATACCTCATTTAGACCTGGCTCTGAAGGCTTCAGTGGGGCAGGCGAATGCCACAAAGAGCTGACACATGCTAGGCAACCAAAGGGGGCTCTCACGCTGGGGGTGCAAAGAACTTGCTGAGGGCAGCCCCTGTATGTGACACTAAGAGCCCCCTGGAGCCGTGACTCGGCGCGTCCCCTGGCTGCTATCTCTATCATGAGCGGAGGTAATAAAACCTGTTCCGCCGACTACTAAAGGGCAGCGATGGTCAGAAAAGGGCCTGTAAAAACGACCCATCGATTAACAGAGCACCTTTGAGTTCCAGCTGACTCGCTGCGTGTGGCCTGTCAAACCGACAGGCCCCTTCCATGGTGGTAACCTGCACGAGAGTCTTTCTTCCACTTTCTTCCCATCTGCTGCCTGCTCTCATGCTGCACCCGAGGCTCACGCAAGGCACGATGAACACAGCTGGACCGTTTTTCTCCGGGCCTCTCCTGTTTCCCTCAGGTCCAGGTCTCCCCCAAGCGCCTGGCAGGGCTTTTCACTCTCATAACCGGCAAATCTGCCCTTCTCCATAGGAAAGGCAAGTGAGTCTGTAAACACCCACGCTTCCCTTGCTGCCTTTGACTTGCCTGCCTGTGCATTTGCACTGCTCCCATTTTCCAGTGGGAGTCGCGTTAAAGGCTCGGTAAGGACAAAGATGGGAGCCATGCTACAGGCGGCCGAAGCTTGCCTAGAACTTCCAGAGAGCAGAGTCCTGGCCTAGGCACCCACTAGGAGGCAGCCTTGTCTAGTGGTTAGGGTTTGGACTGCACATTAGGAGCCAAGCCTGGAGTTACCCTCATATACACAGTTGCCTTGTTGCTTAGTGAGGCACCGGCCAGGGCCGTCCCTAGAAATTTGGGAGCCCTCTGCAGCCCCCTCCCTGGGAGGGCGGAGCCAGCCCCACAGCAGGCAGGCAGGACTGTGCTCAGAGCCATAAGGGCAGGAGCTGTGAGGGGCAGGCCCAGAGATCTGGGGGCAGGAGCAGGGCAGGGATGAGACTCATTCCCATGCTCACTGGCACAGTGGCAAGTGGAGTGACCGAGCCCCAAGTCACTCTGCTCCCCCGGCTCCAAGCCATGCCGCTTGGGGGAGGGGATGGGACCGCCGCCCACACTCAGCGGCTGCAGGAAACGGAGCATCGTGGCTGGGAGCAGGCAGAGCGGGCTAAGACCAGGGCACGTCGCTTCCCACGGCTGCTGGTGAGTGCAGGGGTGGTGTGGAGGTATGGCAGAGCAGGGGGTGTCCCTGGCCCCCCACCTGCACAGGGATGGCCCTGCTGGGTGCAGCCCACAGGAGTGGGGGTGAGGGCTGGCCACCAGAGGTGGCCCTGCCCCACATGCACCATGCAGCTACCCAGAACACCATGGAATTTGGGGCAAATTGCCTTTGTGACGGGAAGCCCTGGCTTATCACCCCCCAAAACGGGCACCAGCTGTTCCTTCCTGGCCCAGAGGCAACCCTAGGAGAATAGGTGGGGAGAGGGCTCTGTGCCCCTAGGCCTTGGAGCTGCTGGAAAGGCTCTGCCCCGTGGCTAGAAAGAGGGAACGCTGGCGTGTTAAGCAGCAAAGGGCTGGAACCACTGGCATCGAGCCAGCAGTAGCAGGAAATAGGAGGCTCCAGATCCACAGCACCTGGCCATGCCTGGGAGGTTTCAAGCAGAGGTAAAGAGCAGACATCAGCCTCCCTCCTGGCCTCCAAAGAGCACCAGCCCTTGCTGCAGGAACCATTTTCCATTCAAATCACAGCACTTCCAGCAGGTCTGCACAGGAGCCGTGGGCTGGAGTGGTGCAGTTAGGCACAGCTAATGGGAGCGGAGCTTTGAGCAGAGTGGGGGTGGAGGGATAGACAGAGGCACAGAAAATCATACAGGGGGAGGAGAAAGTGAATAGGGAGGTGTTACTAATAGAGTCCTGCACCGGTACAAAATTTTGTATCTGCATCTGTCTCTGTAAAAAATGAACGGCGGAAGCAGATACTCACGGATAGCTGCAGATGTACAGGGCTCTAGTTAATAACCCCTCTGTAAGGCACAAAACCCCAGGCTCTCCTACTGAAATTAATAGGCAGCAGGTTTGAAACAGACAAGAGGTCACACACCACACGATCACACTGTGGAACTTGTTGCCAGGGGATGTTGGGGCAGGAGAGGGGGGTGGGGATTATAACTGGGTTCAAAAAAAGAATTGGGCAAGTTCCCAGAGGAACAATTAGCAAAGACAGTCCAGGATACAACCCCTGCTCTCAGTATCCCTAAACCTCCGACTGGCAGAACCTGGGACTGGCTAATGGGGAGGATCACTCGGTAACTGCCCTGTTCCCTTAATTCTCTCAGAAGCACCTGGGATTGGGCACTGGTCTGTCCCGGTCTCCCTGCTCCGAGGTGCATTTCCTGTGGCTGCATTGTGGGGCTTGGTAGCAGAGATCCTGCCGGGTGGGTGGGAGCTCTGAAAGATGTCTCATCTCAGGCTATGCCTGTGTTAGTACCGCCCCCCCCCCCAGCAATGCAGGCAGTTGGGACTGGATTTCCAGTCACGTCGCTGCCAGGCCTCAGAGCTGCAGCAGGTTTTGGGGAGCAGGCACAATCATTACAATGGCATTATCCCCCCGGGAGACGCTTAATGGCTGGAGCCTGGGATCAATCCTGCGGCAGTTTCCCCCTATTCCTTATGGGTACAGTACCCTCAGTGCGAAAGCAGGGCCTAGTCCCTGCATTACCTCAGCCCGCCAACGTGCTGTTGCCCTGCCAGGCCGGTGTTAATACGTCTGGGGCAGAAACCAGCAGGCATACGCCCCCAGGCGAACCCTCCCGACACCTCAGCACGCCAGGATTAGCCCAGAGTTACAGAAGGGGAACTTAAGGCACTGTTAAGTGACTTGCTCAGGGTCACATAAGGAGTTTGTGGCAGGCCAGGGGCCAGAACCTACCCGGTCTGGTGGCAGGCAAGATGGCGGAGCCCCAGCCTGGCTGGCCCCAGTGTGTCTGCCAGATAGCTCTCTCCTGCACTCACTGTCCCCACTGGCCACCCGCACTCTGGTGCCCCAAATGTGCCGTGCTCCCTCCTTCCCGGCCAGCCCAGAGAGCTGCCCCAGGGCACCCATGCAGCATGGCAGTGGCTCCGTCATTGTCATACCAGCAGCAGGCGCTCCAGGCCTTTTAACATTGCTGGTCCCAGGGCTGCTGCCCCCTTTGCTCACGTTTAAAACAAAAATCCCACCCACCCTTGGAGCACAACAGGAGCCGTGCTCCCACCAGGGGCTGCCCCGAGGGCCCTCCAGGGAAGCACAGAGCATGGCTAGATTCACTGCAGAGCTTCCATGAACCCCAACTCCCCTGGCTTTGGAGGGTCCCATGGCTCAGCAGGGATCTCCCCCTTGCCCTTCCATCCACCAGCAGCATTACCTGGCAAGGAAAGCCAGGGCAGGGGAGTTTAACTTGTGTGGAAAAGGTCAAAGCATATTGAAATACAGGCCAGGGCAAAACCACCTTGCAAAGGGACTTGGTTTCCAGGCACTGAAGCCTCGTGCAGGGAGCAGTAGCACCCTGGTTCCAGGGCCAGCCAGGGGCTCCTTGGCTGAACTCCTGCATGACAGGCCTGAGGCCTTTGAGGGAGGGAGGATAGCTGGAGGGCTACTGCTGCCCTGGGTGAGTGCACAAGCAGCAGTGGTGCGCCCAAGGCAGGACCTCCACTGGAGCCCTCAGCCACGTGGGCAACCTGCTCTTTGGAGGGCCAGCGTCAGGCTCTGGCAGCTCAGCACGCTGGAGAACGAGCAGCAGCCCGCATGGGTCAGCTGGAAGATGCGCAGCCGTTCTAAGCTGGGGCCATAGAACACAAAAGCTTTGGCTCTGCCAGGCCTGTCACAGCTGCTGATTAAATCCACCCTCCGGGCTGGAGGACGCCCTGCTGTGGCGCGGCAGCCAGGAGCTGGGCCTGGTCAGCCAGCCGTCAGTCCGCAGCCACAGCACCTGCAGGCGCTCAGAAAGCAGGGAGACCCACGGCCGCACCACCCCTGCAACAGAGGAGACAAGCACCAGGATCCAGTTATTTCATCTTTATTTACAGGGGAGGGCAGAACAGCACGTCAGTCGCCACCAGCCCCTGGCAACCTCGCCCTTGGCTCCAAGGGCTGGCCGCTGGCTCCCAGGCAGCTCTGGGCCTTGGCAAGAGAGGTTGTGGGGGAGGGTGTTTCTGGATGGGATGGAGGGGAGAAGGGCTCCCACATCCCACCACAGGAGAGGAAAGGAGGGAAGGGTTCTGCCCCAGCAGTGCGGACCTGGGGCACCTGTTCCCTCCGTGCCCCCTGGAGGTCTCAGAGGGTGCGTCTGCACTGCACCCGCAGCTACGCCATTGGAGCGACACAAACGGCGTGGCTTCTCGCGACTATTTCAACACAACAGGTGCGGTCAAGCCGTGGAAAATGCTATTGCGGGATTGCGGAAGGATCCCAAAATAGAGCTGCTGTCTCGACGCACCCGAGAGACCACCGCACACCCTCCAGCTGAACCCAGAGGGGGAATGGAAGAACCTTCTCCGAGACGCTAGGCCTCTGCTATTCCTCACCAGTTAGCCCAAGGCCAGAAACACGCCACAGCCGTGCAGGACTCCAGACGCCCACTGTGGGCCCCACAAACCTCCCACCAGCACCCAAGGCAACCAATGAGCCGACAAGGCACCAGGCCCACGCGGGGAGCTGCAGAGAGCAAGAGAGCAAAGCGCCAGGCAGCTGAGGCTACGGTGCAGAGCCCAGAAGGACGCCGGGTTCACGCGGGGGATTCCTTGTCCCTCGGAGCCCAGCCTGAGCAGAAGGGACTCTGTCCAGTGCAGCTCCAGCCCCAAACTCCCATTCCACCCTCCCCACCTGGGTCTCCAGGGAGGCTCTAGCACTGCAGTGACATTACCAGTGAGTCCCACAGCCTGTGCCCCATTGAAGCCTGGCCCAGCTGAACGCTGGGAGCCCTCACACCATTTGGTTGCCTTGTTTGAAACCCCCCTCCTGTGCTC